AGGGAGAGAGACAGAGAGAGAGAGAGAGAGAGAGCGAGAGAGAGAGAGAGAGAGATTTCAGTCCATTCTGTTCTGTTCTGGACACATGTGGTGCAAAAAAATGGGTCGGTAACCTTTCAGAAGGTACTAGTACACTTTAGACTTTAGGGTACTTATATGTACTTTTAAGGTACTAACATGTATCCTTTACAAAGATGTACCTTTTAGCTTTTGTACTGTCAAAATATATTTCAGTCTGTTGAATATATTTATAAATATTACCGAAGAACTAAACTGTAGAATCACAAAAAAAAACAAAAAAAACTGTCAACATGTCCAGGTGAATGAATGAATGAATGAATAAAATCTTTTTGTTTTTTGTGTGTGTGTGTGTGTGTGTGTGTGTTGTTTTTGTTTTGTTTTTGCGTAGTAAATACATTTCCCTTAAATTCCCATTACAGGAAAGCATGTAAAAAAATCATATATTATTTGAATTGTAATGCATTTATAAACAGCAGTGGTAAATCATTAGATTTTGCCTTGTTGTAATGCATTAGATTGACTCTGATTTTAATTATAAGATTTTGTTTTCATAATAATACTGTAATAAGTAAAATGCATTAAATTAATCAGAATGTGGGGAGAAATGTACATAGTTCTCATGAAAATAATGTCACAATTATATATATAATAATGGTTTACAAACAGGTTTTATTTTACTTTTACACAAATTATAATTTCTTATGTTTGCTATTATTTATTATTTCAGAGTGTGGGGGTAATAGTTCTCATTAAAATAATGTAACAATGCAAAAATTATTTATATATATATATATAAATAATCTCACAAATTATGATTTTTTTATTTTTTTTATTTTGAATATTTGTGTGGTGAAATATAACCAGGACATGTTTTCATGAGATTCACTTCAATATTCATGTCTAGTGGATCTGATGAAGATGCATCACATATTGGGCAGAATTCATCCCAGATTCATTCATAATGCAGATTTAAAGTGAGTGAATCATTCGTGAGAGCAGAATGCTAAAAAAACTAAAAAAACAAGAATGATGCTGTTAAAAAATCTGTAAATTAAGATTCATATTAGTGGAGACGGACATAATACGATATGATATTTACTCTGTTTTTTATTCATTATTTGTTTATTTTTGATTATGTGTCATACAGGGACTTCAAACTGTGTTTGGACACATTATATAAATAAATATAAATATAAATGTCTTCCATAGAGAATCCCAAGAGTTTTTCTGCCTCGTTTGCTCTCTGTCCCGTCTACATTAGTAGATCAGATCTTTCTTTTACCTCCATGAGGAAGACGTTGTTCTCCCTGGCGGCCGAGATGAGATGCTTGACCTCTCGGAGGTTCATGGCGAAGGGTTTCTCACACAGCACGTTCTTCCCAGCGTTCAGGAACAGCAGACCCACCTGCAGATGATGTGTGTGGAGAACGCCGATGTACACCACGTCTGACAGGACACACTCGTGAAGGTCAGCCAGTGATTCTGAGTGACTGTCCCTTTAATTCTGTCCAGCTCTGTCTGATTACTCACCGATATTTGCATCCTTCACCAGCTCCTGGTAGCTGCCGTATGCAGTCGGGATCCCATGAGTCTTTGCAAACTTCTTTGCACTTTCTAGGCTTCTTGCTGCAACTGCAACTATCTATGACACACACACACACACACACACACACACACACACACACACACACACAGACAGACAGCAAAGTTAATGATTGAATCAGATTCTAAAAGCAGATGTTTAGCTCGGTCTGGACTGTACCTGGTGATCTTCATGAGAAAGTGTCTTCAGAGCCACACAGAAATCATGGCTGATGTTTCCAGCTCCACAGATTCCCCAGCGGGTTGCCATGTTCGCTCTGACCTTCAGACTGTATGCAGTTGCATGTGCAGAGCAGGCTTTTATCTGCGGTCCAGAGTGCAGGTGAGCTCACAGGACGTCATGTGATCTGATAAAGTGTAACTTTGAAACAGTTGTAAAAGTCTCTCTTTTTTTGTCACAGTATAAATGAATTCACGGCTGAATATGCATGAGCTCATCATGACTCAGTACAAATCAGATCCTCATTAAATGTGCCAGCTAATGATGATCAAGCATGTTTATCTGTGATGTTATTATGCTTGTGTAATGTGTCAAGAAAACTTTGTGTCACTGCTATGGAGACCTGCCAAATTTATATTCATGTAACTGTTACTATCACAAGAGGTTAAAAAAATCACATAGCAGTTTTAAAATAATATATATATATATTACAATCTAACTATAATATGATGCATATTAAAGAATGAAAAAGATGCACTTTAATAGGAATTTTTAAAGGAATAAGTTTTTTAAAGGAATAACTATTTACATTTCTAAAAGTAAAAGGAGTTGTTTCTTATACACACACACACACACACACACACACACACACACACACATGAGAAACTAGTCCTGCACTGTGATAAATAATAAATATACCATACATTATCATTAATAATAATAATATTGTATTATAATTTATAATAATGTTGTATAATAATGTAATAACATTTTTAAAAAAGAGAGAAAAAAATAATTAAAACAACAACCTGTAAACAGTGAATAAGCCTGCAGCATGTGCTTCAGTCAGTCACTAGGTGGCGCTGCAACGCTATTGTAAAATCACACAGCATGAATCCTGTAATACAGCTTGTGCACAAACTTCAACATCTGCTCAAATCTGAAGTGAATTAAACACAACAAACTCACCTGAAAAAACAATCATATAGAAATTAAGCATTTTATATTATAATAGTATATTACATTTAGATTATGTTTCTGTTTCCTTATTTGTAAACTTGAGGTTAACAATAACAATCTACAATCTTAAGGAACATTTAAAAATACAATAATAAAAAATATTACATTAAATTATATTAGTATATATTAAATCATATAATATAATATAATGTAAATATCAAAGTAAAAGTCCATGGAAATTCCCACCAGAAAAACAAGTGTGTCATTACTGATGCTCTCAGGTGTGTTTGGGGTGAAATTATCAATGATGTCCCTCATCTGAGGGATGCTGGGATGCTGTGTGCCGTTGCCATGACGACAAGGTACCAGCTGGGCAATCTGTATGCAAATAATCTCGCGCTGGTACAGCAGGACCTGGTCGCCATGGCAACGTTCATGCCGAAACGCACCTTTCCCCGGTTATTTCTGGAGAGAGAGATGAAGAGGTGTTAAATGTTAACATGACCCGAAAGTACAGACGGTAATATCATGGTACTCTGATATATACTGCAGGATCATTAGTCACTTATGGTATTTAGAAGGTACTCCACGATACTTTAACCAAACCTGGTATTACTGTATTAGTGGTATTAGTGTCTAAACAGCATGGTATTACCATGGTACTATGTCAAAAAATACCAAAGCACTTTTTGTAAGTAGTTACTGACCCTGTGACAGTAAATCTGACACATGTGACACAGTAAAGATTTACTGATCTATAGTGATTCTTCTCTCTGTGTGTGTGATTCTTCTCTCCCTGTTTTTCTATTCTGGTGGGGACTTAAACCTGACTACACACAGACTCATGGGGACTCGTGTCACGGTGGGAACCTAAATTGAGGTCCCCACGGGTACAAAAGCTTATAAATCACACAGAATGAAGTTTTTTGAAAATCTAAAAATGCAGAAAGTCTCCTGTGAGGGGTAGGTTTAGGGGTAGGGTTGGTGTAGGGCAATAGAATATACGGTCTGTACAGTATAAAAACCATTACACCTATGGAGAGTCCCCACAAGGATAGCTGACCGGACTGTGTGTGTGTGTGTCTGTGTGAGTGAGTAAGTGAGTGTGTGTGTAAGTGAGTGTGTGTGTGTGTGTGTGTGTGTGTGAGAGTGTGTGTGTGTGTGTGTAATAAAGGGGGG